CTTTCTGGTTTTCTACAAATGATTTTGTTCAGTTAATAGTTTAAAACTAGCAAATCCTCAATCTATGTGGATTTCACATGAGTCTGCCTTTTTTGTTTTTGTTTTAAAGCTGGTTTAAAATGCATCTGGAACTGTTGTCATAGCAACAATCACCTTATTGACAGCTGGATCATAACCAAGACCCTAAACGGGAAGTAATTACCAGATGCAAATGGCTCGTTTTCTTATATTTATAATGAAAGAGTGTTGATATACTCATATTTTAGATGAGAGGTTATTGGGATTATGTTGTCATAATGAAGTTTCCTATACTTACACATGATAAACTAGAAAGACATAAATCTAATAAAGGATCTGTTAAAAGACGAAGAGCCAGAAAATAATGCCTTTATTTTTACATTAAAATGGGGATATGTCATTTTAAAACTTAAGTAATTAACTGCAGAACTCACTTTACTGAAAGGGTTTTATTTTGCCATTAAAGCTGCTTCGACAGCCATGACAAAGAAAGAACACAAAATTATAATATCTGAATTTCATTATACAACCCTGTGCTGTAAACAATAAAATAACCTTAAAACCATGAATCTGTTGGCCCAGTGTATAACTGCAATCACATGATCAGCACTCAGACAATCATATGAAAGCTGATCAAGGTTTCAACTTTGCTCATTTTGTCCTTTATTTCAAAATAAGAGCGAGCTGTTATTCATTCAGGATGAACAAATAAATTCTCAAACTGCTGTGGAAGAACCACGTTAGCTGGATGAGAATAAACTGGATTATTTTAGCCTGATAACAGCAAATCAGAATCAGTCCAGACACAATAGAAGAACAGGGTGCAGCTTGATACATAACCTTAACAAATGTAAGATTAATTATCTGTCGATTAATCAGCTAATAGTTGGAAACCTACACATTTACAGCTCAACTTCACTGCTGAAGTTGTCAGAGAAAATTGTATTTAAATTCTTAATTGCAGCTAATTAAGAGAAACATCATTGCTTCTCCAAACAATTCAGACAATAATCTTAAAAAGCTTTTGAAAAATAGTTAGAAATGTTGTCACAATTACCCAAAACCCAACTTCACAATGCTTGTTTTGTCCAACCAAAGTTATTTAAATGGATTAATTCAAATTATATTAAAAAATAAGCAGATCCTCACATTCCTGAATATTAATCCACTAAATTACTAAAAGGATTATAAAAATAGTTGTCAAAAAAGCTCAATATTTCCTTGTTGAGGTGTATATTTGGCGCTTTAATCCAGCATTGAGCTGTGGACGTTTCACCACAAGATGGCGCTGTGGTGTTACTCACCAGTGACAACCACATCAAAGCCACCAGAGCAGAATAAAGACATCTCATCAGCATACACAATATCTAGAAACAAACACACATACATACACTATGGGGCCAAAAGTATGTGGACAGCAGGCCAAATAAAAGATTTGTGTGCTTATTGTTAATTGTTTTATTATTAGTTACAATGTGTTTGTGCTGTGCTGACTAGTTACTGTGAATGCCTCTACAAGAAAGCTTCTTAAAAGGTGGATTTCGACTTTTTCCTCCTTTATAGATTTTCTATGCAGAGCCACCAGAGACACACTCGTTCATGGTTCAGGTCTTAAACTCATAGTTTCTGAAGTTGCTGCTGGACTTTTTCCTCTCTTCCTCTCTGTGGACGAGGGTTTCATATTGGCTCTGTAATTGCTTTGATGTAATTAAAGCTCCATTTTGAGCAGAGTCTAGGCGGTGTGGACAGGGGATTTTTATAAAGGTCGTACAGTACAGAGGGAAAGATAGATGTTACATTTTGTTCTCGGTATGAGCTGTGAGTTGAGCTGTGAGTGTGAGCATCAAACACATGCAGTGTGTCTCATTTTCAGACTGCTGACAGGGTTTCACGCTGCCACGCTGTGTGACAAAGGGAGATTAAAAGGTGCTGATATCAAGGTACAACCATGGCAGCGTCAGGGCAGATTGCTGGATGTAAAAAGGTGTGATAAATGGATAAATAACTGCATTTACAGCTGGGGTCTCTAACTCAGTTTGGCTCACTTTAACATTTAAATATAAGAAAGCGCGATATTCTGACATTATTTACATTGCTAACGTCATATTTACCATAAAAACATATGGAAACTGCAGTGTTTATACACTTTTATATCCTCATTTTATATCATCATCATCATCAAATCAGCTCTCTTCTTATTAATCGTTTGAACACACATATGGCCATTATTTTCCTCCAAACGAAATCATTTTAAAAACATTTTAAAATAGATTTGTTTTTAGTTGACTTGTATACACTGTAAAAAAAATACTGTAAAATTTCAATCAATTAATATATATATATATATATATATATATTAAATTATGGAGTAGGCCTACATATTTATTGTTTGTTTGTTAAACTTAAAGATTCATTATATTCTAAAGAAGTAATTTATTCTTCTATTATATTTTTGACATCATGTTGAATGGAGGAGGATGGAGGGCCAGAAATGGTCCCCAGGCCAGCAGTCAGAGACCTCTGGACAAACTGAAGAAAGAAAATTCTCTGAAACTAAATACAATATTTAAAAAGCCATATGATGATCTTATAGAATATGATTGAACTATCTAACAGTATATGAAGTAGTTCAAATGTGCTCATTCAAGTACTTTGTAGTACTTTTACTTAAATACTTACTTAAATCTAAATACCTCTTCCACCACTCTTAAACATTATGTTTTGGTTTTAGTGGTGAAAAGATGTTCAGTGGTCCCGATCACATCACTTCATACCAGCTGTTAGAAATCTACATCCTTTACTGATTTTATAACAGAGAGATTATAATTATGTACTGTAACATGCACTAAAGGTAATCAAAAAGTGACTTTAATTGTTACTTTTGCTTTCTGAGGTGTTCATGGAGCCATTTTATCACTGTTAGTTTCATTTTCCAAGCTGAGAGCAGCTCTGTGCATTGCATTATGGGAGAATAGTGCCCATGAGAGCACACTGGGAAATTAAATTAATAGAAAAATATATATATATATTAAAAAAAGAATGCTTGATGTCACTTCATAGACACTCTGGTGGTGAAATGAAAGAGGCTGCTGAGTATTTATGGTGGTGGGGAAGTCAATTAGGGGATTGGGAACAGGTGTGATGACAGAAACAGCGAGGACACCTGTGGGGCAGGCGGGGCACACTGATAACAGGAAGAACAATGCAGGTGATTTTACCATATAGTACACATATTGTACACTGCAGGCTTAATATTAATTCTATCTAAGTTTAGAAGAAGTTTATATCTAAAATAATAATCTAAATTCTAAAAAATACCAATTTAATTCAGCTTGCTTCACAGAAATGAACAAAATGCTGAGATATAATGTGTATATTTTTAAAGTTTTGTTACTGCCCTTAAAATCAAGAACGCCTTATGACCCCCCCTGTAAAGCTTTGGCGACATGTAATGGGTGTCCCAACCCTCAGGTTGGGAAACACAGCACAAAGGGGATCTGGTGAAACGCAGCTTAACCTGAATAAAATGACAGATTTCTCTTTTGAGTTTGAACATTGATGGGAACATTTGGGATAATATAAGTACACAACTCAACTACATATAAAAAATATAATAGTGTATAGATATTAAAATGTGTAAAATGTTACACATTATACCTTTAACTAAAGGATGGGAGCACCTCTTCCACCACTGCAAGACGCAAAAGAAAAACCACCTCAAACATGGTTCATTCATTGTTCTTTAATATTAAAACAGCCAAAAAATACAATAAGCTTTTATTTATTTTTTTATTCATCCCTCACCCACAATCTCCCACCCACCCCAGAAGAAAGAAAAAACCAAGTTAAACTCACAGTACAAGCCCCAATAGAAACAATAAGCATGACTTCACAGAGTTTCTTTAAAAGGGACGGACGCTGCAGACAGTGGGACAGTTCAGCAGGTGGCTGTTTGTGAGAACTGAGCAACGTACACAGGACTTTGAAGATGTTGCATCAACCAGCCGCTCCATGTTTCATTTTCAAATGAATTATGACAGTGGCTGTATCCAAGGCTACCAAAACACGTTGGCATGGCAACCAGTAGCCATGCGTTTTTAAAGCGCGCGGGGGGGGGAGACTATCACAACTTCAGATTGTGTTTGTTTCATGTTTTCACCCTCGCGTGTTAATAGCAGTTTGGAGATTACACAGAGCACATGCCTGCTCCTCTCGTCTAAAAGCTACAGCGGCGTCGAGGACGTTCATCACTGTGATTAATGGCTCTTGTGTGCGGTCGACAGTAATTGTCTGAATCATTCTCGTACCCATAATCACAGCGAGCAGCGCTCTCAGGCACTGTGTTCCCATAACACTTGATGATGTATTTTATTGCAATGCTTTATGGGTAAGTCTATAACCTGGGAGTACGTCCAGACTGTTTTCGGTGCAGCAAAAAAAAAATATCTTAAGCACAAACCTCGGCTGCAAAGTCAAAACCAAATTGCACTTGAAATCCGGAACAGCAGTTTTAAAGGAAAGTGAATTAATAAATTAGGACAGGTTTTGTCATGCAAAGATTTAAAGGAACATTAGGTGGTTTAAAGCCACTTTGACGACTAGTAGAAAGTATAAAAACATAGAAAATGAAACAGCAAACAGCAGCCTGCAGCTATCAAAACATGAAGTGACATTTGTGTCCATTACAGCAGAAATGACAGTAAATCATCAGCACTGAAACTGCTGCAGATTTGTGTTAAGATGAGTTTTACACCAGAAACACGTAGAGACTAAGAGAAGTAAGTTTATCTACAATCTCTTTAAGCTACTGCAGATAGAT